AACTTTTTATTTTTTGAAACTTTTTTGCATCACATTATAGCATCTTGTTTGTAGTTTCGAAATATATCAGTCTCACCGGAAACAAAAACGACAACTTCCGGTTATGAGAGAAAAACTGCATATTTTCAGTATTTTTCTTTCCCATAAATATTTTTTATAGATAAAGTATTTGTAATGATTTTTGGATATGTTATTCAGACTGCAAATGACTACAGTAACGTCAAATATCTTTGTAAAATTCACTTCCGGTCGCGTGATTTCCTGTCCTCAAAATGAAAAGTTATCATAGCTAGATCTCGTAAACGGTAAGAGATTAAGACACCAAACTTATATAAATGGTAGATCATGAAAAGTACGCAAAATCATTTGGGATAAGATTGTCAGCAGTCACTTCCGGTCGTCACAGGAAGTGATCCAAAAAATCTAAATTTTTAACTTTTCTTTCATGAAACATATTTTGCATCACATTATAACATCTTATTTGTATTTTTGAAATATATCAGTCCCACCGGAAACTGAAACGACAACTTCCGGTTATAAGAGAAAAACTACATAATTTGAGTATTTTTCTTTCCCATAAATATTTTTTATAATTAAAGTATTTGTAATGATTTTTGGATATGTTATTCAGACTGCAAATGTCTACAGTAATGTCTAATATCTCAGTAAAATTCACTTCCGGTCGCGTGACTTCATGTCCTCAAAATCAGAAGTTATCATTGCTAGATCTCGTTAACGGTAAGAGATTAAGACACCAAACTAATAGGTATGGTAGAACTTGACGAGTAGACAAATCCTTTGAGTTTAAGATTGTCCGCCGTCACTTCCGGTTGTCACAGGAAGTGATCAAATAAATAAAAAATTTAAACTTTTCTTTAAGGATTTTTTCTAAGTATTACCTTATAGCATCTTACAAGTAGTTTCGAAATATGTCAGTCCCATTGGAAACAAAAACGACGACTTCCGGTTATGAGAGAAAAACTGCATAAATTGAGTTTCTTTCTATCCCATAAATATCTTTTGTAAAAAGAGTATTTGAAATGATTTTGGGACATGTTATTCAGACTGCAAATGTATAGAGAAACCTCAAAATGAGACCTTTGACCCTTACTCAAAAAGTAATTAAGGAATATTCATTACCTTTATCTAGATTCAGCTTCAAGTGTTTATCTCTCTTTACCTCTCTCTCTCTCTCTCTCTCTCTCTCTCTCTCTCTCTCTCTCTCTCTCTCTCTGACTCTTGACCTTTGACATTTATAAATGACATAGTTCTTTGGCCCCATTGACACAAAGGTCACAATCAAGCTTAAGGTCGTGGAGGTATTTGCAACTCTTACTCTAACAAATGCTTATAAAATATCCCCTCCTTTCTCTAAAAAAAAAAACAAAACAATCAACACCAACTTAGAGAAAATGTCTACAAGTCAAACGAAACGAAATATCGGCATAAGATTTGTAATAAAAGAAAGAAGAGACCTGAAAGAAAGTGTCCTGAGAGTTTTAAGGTGAGTCTCTGAAGTATTTTGAAATTCTAGTGAATATCGGCAAAATCTGCATTTTTTTTCTGTCTGAAATTAAGTTATTGCTTGGCATAAAAATTAATTAAAACTCGTATTGGCTATTTCTGCAATTATTGTTAATATCATTCGATTCTCCTGCTCCATTACGACATTTTAATACCAAGTATTCTTGCTTTCTTAGGTGTATGGAATTTATTTTAATTTTATTTAGATTTAAATATGAATCGGCTGAAACTCGGAAATGACGATTTTTCATATCAATTAAATTTCCTCGCAATTGAGATAGGTCAATTGCAGTTACCCCGCTTGATACGATATGCTTTTGAAAAAATGCCCATGACTCACTGTTTTTCTGGGATTTTGAATTTCCTCTGTAACTGACCACGTGTATTAGTTTCGCTTTACAACTCTGTTTATGCTAAGTGCCATTGCTTCACTACAAATGTGTCCCATAATTATTCTAATCATTTTCCTACATACAATATCACATCAAACAGGGAATATCTCAGTTTTTTAAGACATTTGACTTTACTACGAAACTATTTCTTTCACTTCGAAACTATTTCCTTCAACCTTAAAATAATAAGCTTACAGAATACCTGAAATGTTGTGGAAGTTGGTGGCTCAGTGGTTAGCGTGTCCGACTTTCATACTAATGGTTTTGGGATCGAGACCAGTTGGTGGAATTGATATTTTTTTTTTTTTTTTTTTGCATTTTGTTTTTTTTTAAATACAAAAAAATTCTTCTTACAGATAAAAGAGGAGAACGGAAGACCTTATTTGTTGCTGTAGCAACAAGAGTTTCTAGTTATTATTATTATTCTTTTTTTTCTTACCGATTTTGTGCACGCGAGTTCTCGGAAACGGCTTGGTTGATTTTCACGAAACTTTCAGATCTGATAGACATTGGTCTGAACCTTATTGGAAATTTTTTATATGTACGTCGTCACTTCCGGTCGTGAGATATGGACGATTTACTGATTATTAGAGGGTCGGCTTGTCCTGGCAATCACTGAAACACGAATAAAGATATTGACTTGAGATTTTCAGTGAAGGTAGAGGAAGGATTGCTGAATTGCTTTTTTGAGTCTATATCTTTCCAGTGCAAAAGGCGTTGAAGCTCGCCTGAGCAGAGAAATAAGCTCGGAAATATCTCGCAAAATTTAACACGTTTTCTCTGATATCTTGATACCTATCAATAATTTGTTAAAAAGTATATAATAAAAGTTGTTCAGAATTAGATTTTCTATCATTTGATATCAAGAAAAGGGGTGTGACCCCTCAAATAAAGGGCAAACAGGGGCCAAAAGTCTCTCATCTATAACTCTTTATTTTTTCAATTTTTTGTTATAAATAACTGAAACGAAAGTGTTTATCATAACAATCTGCATCAATGCATTGTAAAATCGTGATAATATGTTACGTAATAAGGGGTCATAAGGGACCAAAATGCTAATTCTTGGATTCTTTATATCTCCAAAAGGGGAAATATTTTGATAAGCGGTATCGAGTAAAAGATGCTCATTGTTGTTTTTTAAACATTATACAACCATTCTAAATATGCAATATATAGAACGTAAAAGAATTTAATCAAACGAGAGAAGTCTTGATATCATTATGATTTAACAAAGATCATTGTCAAAATCATAACTTATCGAAAAATCGGACGGAAGACCTACTCGTTGCTCGCAACGAGATCTCATCTAGTTATTATTATTTTTCTTCCTGGGAAAATTTTGTCCGCGAGTGATCTTGTAAACTACACATCCGACTAAGGTAAAATGTTTTTAGGGTCAGTAGACATGTTATGTAGATTTGCCGAACAAAGGTCATTTTGCGCGCACGTGCTTGCAAGAGCGCGCACGTGCAACAGTGAAATGACCGATTTAATTGATATAGGCGTAACTTTTATAATTTTTGATGAAATGCTTTGAAACTCATAATGTAAGGATATATTAGTAATATAGACAAGATGACATGGTCAAAATAGCAAGATCTCACGCACATGCACGTGCGCTGCAATCTGATTGGCTATCACTAAAGTCTCAATATCTTTCTTGTTTTTATACGAAATCCTTTGAAATTTTGAACATAGCCATGCATTAGGATATCTTACAACATGATATATAGAAATTATCATGAAAACACGTGCATGCACGTGTGCTGCAATCTGATTGGCTGAAACTTGAAATGGCTATATCTCCTTTGTTTTTTGACGAAAAGCTTTGAAATTTAAAACAAAGTCATGCATTAGAATATCCTACAATATGATATAGAGAAATTTTCATAAAATCACGCAATTGCACGTGCGCTGCAATCTGATTGGCTGAAACTTTAAATGGCTATATCTCCTTTGTTTTTTGAAGAAATGGTTTGAAATTTAAAGCATAGTCATGCATTAGGATATCCTACAATATGGCAGAAAAATAAATTCATGAAATCACGCGATTGCACGTGTGCTGCAATCTGATTGGCTGAAACTTTAAATGGTTATATCTCCTTTGTTTTTTTACGAAATGGTTTGAAATTTAAAACATAGTCATGCATTAGGATATCCTACAATATGGCATTGAAAATTTTTCATGAAATCACGCGATTGCACGTGTGCTGCAATCTGATTGGCTGAAACTTTAAATGGCTATAACTCCCTTGGTTTTCATCCAAACAGGATGGGATTTAGAACATAGATAGATATAAGGGACTCCTACAAGAAGGTATGATCATCTTGCACATGCACACAGTTTGTCTTTTTAAATGAAGCTTACTGGGAATATGGCACCAAAAGGGAGTTGGGGAGCGTTTGGGGAACATCTGTAACGGTCTCCGTTACAATTAGCACTAGTTCTCTAGTTGCTTTAGGTCCTCTTGCAGCATTGACTGACATCTCTGTTCATCCATAGTAATATAGATGACAGTGTTATCTGCAAAGAGTCTGTCCTGCGACTTCACATGCTCCGGAAAATCGTTTATATAAGCAAGGAAAAGGATAGGGCCAAGAACAGAGCCATGAGGGATCCCAGATGTAACGGGGATGGATGTGGAGAACCCGCCATTTACTACTACCATCTGGGAACGGTTGCTGAGGAACCTCTTGATCCATGCTAGATTATGGCCTCGAACACCATACTAAGGTAGTTTAAAAAGTAGTTTGTTGTGCGAGATCTTGTCAAAAGCTTTGCTGAGATCTAACAGGATCAAGTCGGTTTGCTTACCGCGTTAAATGTTACAAACATGTTCATCGACCAGCATCACCAGCTTGGTTTGGCAGTTCCGTTGCTCCCTAAATCCATGTTGGAGGTCTTATTATATGTTATTTTGTGTAAAATGTGGTACCAAGTTTGATGTTATGATATGCTCCATAGTTTTGCACAGTATGCAGGTAAGGGATATAGGTCTGTAATTTCCTGGGTTTGATATGTCCCCCTTCTTAATTAGTGGACTAACATTAGTGGTGCACCATTCTCTGGGCGTTGTACCTGTGTCATAGGAGAGCTGAAAGAGGGTCTGGAGTATAAGGTTTACCTCTTGGTGCAGGTCTTTTAGTAAATGTGTGGAAAAAATTAGTGCCAGCCGTTTTGTGTGTTTTTAGATTTTTCAGAACTTTTTCTATTCCCTCTTTGGTTACCTTGATTTCAGGCATGTGTCTTCTTGCTGGGGAGGGTTGGTCAGTAAAAGAGGTAGACTCGGCTTGGTGAGGGGTACTGATATGTCGTTTACTCACCTTCATGTTACATAGCCGGGAGAGGGAAGAGGGATATTTTGGACTGAAAACAGACTGAAATTGTCGGTTTAAAATGTCAGCTTCTACAACTGGCTCTGATTTGAGAAGGCCGCCCTCCTTAAGTGGTGACACACCACATGAGTCCTTCTTAGCGTGTTTCAGGAAGTGGAAAAGCTTCTTGGGGGCATAGAGACCTGTTTCTCCAGGATACAAATGATGTTGTTCACATATCTATGATATGAAAGTCTTATTTGTTATTGGACTAGATGTTTAGTTCTTTTAAAATGTTGTTTATCCTCTGATCTCTTTGTTATTCTCTGTCTGTAAAAGAGTTTATCACGTTTCTAATTAAGCATTTGATTTATAAATCAAGGGTAGTTTGTTATTTCCTCTGGTCCTTATAGATGGTACAAAAGCTGACAAACCATTTGAAATTTCTTTTTTGAATTTATTCCATAAATAATCAGTATATTTGTATATGTATGATCCATTACGAGAACTTGATCTTTATACTGAGCAATATGATGTCTAAACCCATCCTTGTCTGCCTTTTTTGTACAGGTGGACATTTCTAAAATTGTCAATGATTTTTCTTACCTGCGTTTTTATGTTTGACTTTGTGTACACAATATCATGATCACTTAAACCAGGTGTGTCGTCAGTACTTACCAGCGTTGGGCGATTTGTCAAATACAAATCAACAGTATTTTCATCTCTAGTAGGGAAATGTACCATTTACAGTAGATTATTGTCTTGTATGAGCTCTGTAAAGTACTCATATAAAGATGTATTTCTACATAATAGAGTCAATGCTATTTCTTACCCAATCATACTTCAGTAATTAAAGTTACTAAATAGCCAGATGGTGACCCCTTTATGAGCAAACTTGGATAGTGAGACGTTCAGCTCGATTAAGCTTTGTTCGTCTGCTTTCTCTGGTTTGTAATAAGCACCTACATACAATAATTTGCTACCATGCAACAAACTTTACCCATAACAACTCACAGTCAGTGTCCAGCTCAGAGACTCTTGACGCTTTAAAATGTTTACGAACAAGTATAAATACGCCTCCCCCTCTGGTTATAACTCTATCTCTACGAAATACAGTATAACCCATATCTACCGGAAATACCTCACCGTCAGCTATATCAGGTGTCAACCATGATTCAGGACCTACTACAATATCAGGGGAAACAGTAGCTATAAGATTTTGGAACTCAGCATTTTTATAACATATAGACCTACAGTTGATATTTAGGGTCTTTAGTCCTTTACCAACATTGTCCTTACTCCTGGTACTTTGTTTTCGATTTTTTTTTTTACTTTGGGGGGGGGGTTGATGTGATTTGTGGTGGACTGGATGGTAGGTCCATACTAGTTTCAGTGTTTTTTTTACTATGTAAGTTAATCACATTATTCGTTTTAATGACGTTACCCCTATGTAGAATGCATTCAGCATTTTCTAGCAAAAATATTCCGTACTTTTAATGTGTGTGTGTATGTGTGTGTGTGTGTGTTTTAAGTTGCTTGTTTTAATAATATTAAAACCCTCGCGGGTATGTTAAGGCAACACACGGATCAGAATTTGGCGAATTAACGAGGCCCGATCTACTTGATCTGCACATACGTTTTAACGCAGCGTCGACTTAGGCCCGTCACAATAGCCCTTGACTGCCGTCACAATTGAACACAATAACGTCACATTTAAAATGACGTCAAATTGCGCTAAAATGTTTCGCTGATCTTGGTTACCGGGTAGCTCTATAGACTGTGCATTGAAAAATGGCATTTCTATTATTATTTTTTTAAATATTTAAATTAATTAACAACTAAGGAACTAAATTAATTTTTAGGGATCAGTTTTTGGTACAGATTGAATAATTTTATCTTGTTTTATTTCAATTTGTGAGTTAAAAAAAAAACAAACACTGCAACCAAAAGTAAACGATTTTAGTCTTTCTCTTTGAACATGTTGAAGTGTTTATACACAGTCTTTTTATTGCAGACTTAAATATGCATGGATTATCTTCAGTTTTAAAATATAAAAATAAGTCTATAAATCATTTGTATGCAACCCCCAAAATATTTTATTTTTCTATATATTACATGATATTAGTAAAAATCGTAATGTTGTAGCCTTTACCCCCCCCCCCCTCCATCTGCTCCCTTTACTCCTTTTTCCACGTAAAACAACGTCGCGTGTTACGAGAAAAATATAATTATGGCGAGAAAATTACTTCATAATGGAAGAATTATATATTTTTTAGAAACTAATACAGTATTGCAATCGTTTGTTGGTGTTATGTAAACCTATTACGACCTATAAAATACGTAGCTGGATAGAATAAATCGAAATTTTGTGTTTTGACATGCCCCATTTTCACTGCAATAAAGTCTACCTCCAATTTTCTTTTCATTTTTTATAAGAAGAATGAAAATTGCATGATATATGTGAAAAACAAAGAATTTCATCATGTATTTTTTTTTAATTTGTAAATTTCTTTGTTTTTGGAGAGTTTTAGTTTGTAATTGTGTATAAAAACACTACAAATGGTCCATATCTTGACAGTGCCCCCATTTGACTACAATAAAGGCAAGATAACAAAATTTCATTCTAATTTTTCAAAGCATAAAACATACAAATATATTTCCAAGAATTAAAATCTTTTATCTTTCCGTTTTCGAAATGTTCAACTAGATCGGACCTCGTTAACACTTATTAAATAATATATAACACTAATAAATCAGAATAGTCATGGATGAAACTTTGCTATCATTATGCATTACATAGACTTTTGGGACTTATACTACACGTCTATAATTTAAAAATATGCCTTAATGAAAAAGTAAAAAGTTCAACACTACCCCGGGGATAATTAATTTCAATTTGTAATAATAGTTGTGTAAAACAATCTCTGTACCATGAAAAGTGCTGCTAGAATCCTGTCCTATCAAAGGAATAATTATTCAACAATTTCGGATAAAACCTTTCCAAAATTTTTACATTTTGTTAAACAGATCGGAAAAATGCATCAATTCCCGTTAACCATACGATTCTAGCAGCACTAGAACCCATTTCATAGGATTGATTAATTGATTGAATACTGTTTAACGTCCCTCTCCAGAATATTTCACTGATATGGAGACGTCACCATTGCCGGTGAAGGTTCCTAAATTTGCAGAGCTCGGCACTTACGGAAATTGAGCAGGGACGAGATCTTTATCGTGCCACACTTGTTGACATTGGCAGTATCTTTTATACGGTCTCATCCGAAAGCTTGGCAAGTGTAATTTTTACGACAAGCAAAGGGGTACTATTTTGTTATTATAACGCCGTGAGAACTCTGAAATTTCCCTATTTCACTTATAATTATAGCAGAGATCAAACTGTGTCAACTACTTGTAACAAAGCAATCTTCTTCAAGTCATAATTTTATGCATTGCAATTGGCTGATGTACATTGTTATGAGATGATAAATCATGTGTAAACTTTCTCAGTGAGGTCCATTTCCATCTATCTATATTTCGGCGAGATGAATGTTTTGTAATATAAGGAAGTGTGTCTAGCATTTGCACATATACATAATAAAAATGATTTATGAATGAAGAACGTACCAATTTTCTAATTTATAAAACATTCACTATCTAATGAAATGAATAATATTCAAGTAATAGATATACAACAAAACCATGCCCTGAAATGATAATAAATGCAGCTGACAATCGTTATTTTTTTTATATATATTTCAAAATAAAATAATTATAACTTTATTTTTATAACCGAAAACAGAAGGAGAAATTCAATGAACACAGTATACATGACGGTAACTGAATTTTATGAATGAAGATATTAAAAAGTTACTTGTAAGTTGTATATGTTATAATTCCTGTGTTAAAACACAATGTGTGCGCTTCAAAAGATGGGGGGAAAATCTTGAACATAGCTACCTTAGCCATAACGTTTGAACGGTAAGGGCTTTTTCTGGATTTACAAATATGTAATCCTTGTGATAAAGAACTTTAATTGGATACGAAGAACTTCCTAACCCTTTCCACCAACAAAAGGAGAACATCTGTGTACATCTTAACCTTTTTTTCTGTTTCTTGATCTATGGCAACTGTGAGCAAGCTAATTACAATTATTTTAAAAGTAGAAATCACTTTGACACATTGCAAGGAATAAACATTGAAAGTTTCAAAACGATTGCTTGCGTAGTTATATGCATAAAAACGAAATTAAAGAATTTTAACTTTATATGGAATTTTTATCCATGGCAATAATCGATTATTTGAAAATTTTAAATGCGAATCGCACAACTACAGATACTAATCATTAAAAAAAAAAAGAAAAGTTTCATGACGAACGTTTAAGGGACCAGAGAGAACACTCGCGGACAAAATTCGTCGCTTTTTACAGGTTTCCATGGCAACGGTAGACATATTGGAACTGAACGACCTCACTGCACAACTACGACCAGTAATCGTCCTTTGAGGAAAGTTTCAGGAAGATTGTCCCAGCCATCTCCGAGAAACAGCCTGGATAAAAAAAAACATGCGTACAATATCAATATGTCGTCCCCGACTTCGTTCGGGGCAACATGTTTTATAAGAAACAGTAGAACTCTCTAGAAGGTCTTCCGTGAAGATAGCGACCTGTAATAATAATAAGAAACAGAGTAAAAACAATATGTTCCCCAACTTCGTTTGGGGAAGACGTAATAATAAAAACAGAGTAAAAACAATATGTTCTTGAAACTTCGTCGGGGAAATAATAGTATTTCATACGACAGATAGGTATAGATCGACCTTACTGTTTAAGGTTTTTGCTAAAGACGATAAGCTTTTTAAAAAAAACTCTACTTGTTGTTATTTAGATTTAGATGTTATTTCTAAAGAAATGCAAGTTAACAATTCGTTCCTTTATATTGTGATTATCTCAATCTAAACGTCGAGGTTTCTACTAAGTGAATACATTTTTCTTTAATTTTTTGGACTTTAAAGCCTTTGACGAAAAAGCGCAATTATTACAGAAGTTGAAACATACATGTACATGAAATCAGAATTATACCTATTTTAAGTGTATCTACTTTACGTCGAAGATAGTCTACAGTGCCTGTTATGTTGGTCAGTTGCTCATTCTGGTTTAAATTCTCCTTGAAAACTAACTGAACCTGCGTTTTAAAATCAGTCAACTTTTCAGACAAAGAATTGTTCAGACTTCCTAGTTCTTCGTTTGTGACATTCCAAGCATCAGAAAGGGAAGAAATCTTCAAGTTGCTCTTCATTAAATCATCTGATATTTCTAATTGCTTATCTTTCAAATCTTCCCAATTAGTTACTGTATTATTGATCTGGTTTTTCAAGGCTGTCATTTCATTCTTAAGATCTTGTTTTGAGTGATTTACTTGCACCTCAAGATGTTTTTCATGTGATAAAAGGTCCTGAAAATAATTTAAATTCGAAATACTCAGGTTGCTTACTTCAGAGATATTCCTCATCAATAACAATAACTCGTTTGAAAAATGCTGTTCATTATCATTTATAACCTGGGACATGTTAAGCTGAATATTCTTGCTCAAGTCTTCAAGATTTTGTATTGCTATGGTATTATGATCTAAAGTTGAATTAACATGGTCGCTGAGCGCGTTAACATAGCTTTTCAGCTCCATTACTTCTGATTGAAATGTCCCAATGGCCTTTTGCATTTCTGTAGTTGAGTAACAAACATCTTGCATTGTATCATTAATATCGTTAAGTCTATCATCTACATGCTGGAGTTTTTGCAGGTAGGTTTTGAAAATTAATCCTTCCGTATCATTCAGGTTGACGGATGATTGCGATGCCACTTTCATTAGGGTTATTTCCATTGTATCCATCCGAGATAATATCCTCCTGTTCTCTCTATCTAATCTTTCCACATTTTCTTGGAGTGTATCAGCATTGTTCTTACTTTCCTGGGCTGCCTTTTTCATACCTGCCTCTAAGTATTCGAACTTCTTTATCGAAACTTTTCTTTCTCTGTCATCTAGGCTTGTCGTCTGCTTTTCTCTAGCGGTATCATTTCCGGTCAAATTTTCCTTCATATTATATATTTCTTCAAACAGTTCCACATCTCGCCGCATCATATCGAGTCGTAGGTCCTCTAAGCTTTTCGCGAGTTCTCTTCTGACCTTTAAAATCCCCTCGGTCACAGAATCTTTTGCAAGTTTCAGAATTTCCTCTTTAAGTCCAATATAAGCCACATTTTTCTTCTTCACTGGGGATTCAAGGAATGCATGACAGTAAAGAAGCTTACATGCTATCAGCATTAAAGCGATAAGAAATCCAAAATATCTCTTTTCCATCATCGAAAATATTCAATTACTGTTTTCTGTATCCCTGTACAATGTATTTACTGCTTCCTGTATCCCTGAAAGCCTGTTTTAGAACCAAAAAACGAGAGGACCTCTGTTCGATGTTTTAGGAAGTACTTACAAGAACACAGTTTTTATTCAGAAATCTTTTTTGCACTTGTAAACTTCAGATTTGCAATGGAAAAATTAAACTGAAACGTTAGACACAAGGAAGAGAAATGTAATGATACTTAAAAGTACTAATCTCTTTTCCAAAGTATAAAAAACCTGCATTAAAAACTTTCTTACAAAATAATCCAGTGTGCTTAAAAAGGAGAATAACTTGGCAAATTTCTGTTGTATATTTTTGTGTCGTCTGCAGAGCAGAGCGATAGTTAGAAACCTTTTAACCCGACGTCTCTCCGTCTAACTTTCTTTTACTCCCTCTTTCTTAAGAACGGTAATTGATATGAATTTGATAATGCCTGGACTAGAGTTATTGAATTTATGTCCTATAACCTTGACATCTAATCAAATAACAGTAATTTTTTCTGCAAACATATCGCAAATCTGTTACATTTAAAAGCAACGTCTATGTTATTTAACATATGTATTATTTTCTATAAAACATTATGAAACAAATTGCGTCCCCCGCTTAGGGAAAAAGTAAACCATGCGCAGTTCGGGGGGAAGGGGGGGGTGTCGGATCCCCCTGACTGAATTTGAAGAATTATGAAATGTATACATATAAGCACCTGAAGCAAATAAAATACGCCAATATGGATATAAATATTTGATTGCTTATTCTTTATTATGTGTATAGAAGATTCTTTTTATATGGAATATTTATCACACTGTAAGGTTGATTTTATGAGTTTGTACAAGCCAGACCTCATAAATTTTTCATTTCACATGTTGATTACTATCATTTAGTAAAAAAAAAAAGTATTTCGGGAAAAAAAGAAAATGGATCGACCTGGGTTCGAGCCCCGGACCACTCTCATGTGATTCGAGAGACATACCACTACACCATGGAACCGCTATTAATTGGTGGGGATTATATGCAAATATGAAGTCACATACATGTATATATTCAAGTTTGATATTGTCAAAATTTTACACAATGCATGATGTCTAATTTAATCTCTATTAAACAGTTCCAATAGATGTGATAAGAATATAAAGTCCGCCATTTGAACCTGTTTTATACGTAATAACTCTCCTCATGCATCTGTGCTAAAATAGCGACATGTAATACAATAAATACTAATACAACAAACGGGGCGGGACACTTTGAGAGGGGTGAGAGAGGTCCTAGGGAGTTTTGGTATAAAATTACATTGCAAAAGCTCAAAATCTTCTTGAAATATCGCCGGGCAAGGATAGTGTTACACACAGACAGTATGTATAAATTTACGACCTCAAAATCAATAGGGGTCTTCCTTAGGCCACAGGGAGTTGTTATGTAAAATTTCATTGCAAAAGCTGAAAGGGTTTTCGACATATCGCGCGGAAACGAAAGTTTTATAACTGACATAATTTGCGAATTTATGACCCTGACCTTTGACCTCAAAATCAATAGAATTCTTCTTTAGTCCATAGAGAGTTGCTATTCAAAATTTCATTGCGAAAGCTCAAGGGGTTCTCGAGATATCTCGAGATATCGTTTGGAAACGAAAGCATTACAGACATACAGAAAGACGGACAGACGGACGGACAGACAGACGGAGGGACCCAAATTAATATCCCCCGCTTGAAAAAAAGATTTGTTTGTGAAACATTATACTACCCGATGGTAACCCAATTCTGGAGCAGAACGTAGACTGAAGTGGTATATACATGTACACATGCATGTAAGATGTATCAAAGGTGAAAATACTGAAGACCGTTTGTTTTAATAATAGTATTGTGTTACGATTAATTACATGATAACTTTGTAAAAATACAAGGCAATAGTTATGGTCAGTGCTTAAGTTTTTTAAATGTAGGTCACAGCTGAGATCTACTTTAAGTCAAAATTTCTGTACCAATGGAAAGATCTTGTCATAATGAACACTCATGTAAAATATTTAAGCTTTACCTTGACAGTGCACTAGCAATCGCATCATCTCGGGTCTTTCCGTCAGAGGTCGGAAAAACAACCTCGAATTATTAACATCGCCGGATGTTAAAAATTTATACATTTCCTGTTAAGTCAAATGTAGGATAGAGGAGTTAGAAGTCCCTTCTAGGTAATATCATTACATTGAATAAAGTTAAACTCCATATTCCACAGATAAAAGGTCTCCATGCATTTATTTCAAAGATCATGAAAAAGGAAGGTTGTCATAGCGTCTACCATATACATTCGAGGTCGTTTATCCGCTAGTCGGAAAGGCCCGAGAAGTTGCGATTGAGCGCAATAGTTATTACCGTCTTCCTTGGAAGACGGTATTGTATAGTTGAAGTTTTTTACAGTCTTCGGACTATGCACTTCCTCTCTTTTGTGATTGGTAGAAAATGATGATGAGAAAATTTTCAATTATTTCATTGGTTGAAATGCTGTTTAAGGCAAGGGAGATAACTTTTTGATGATCTAATTTCCGTACGACTTAACAATTTTGCAAGATTTTCAATCTTAAAAAAAATGACAAAACGAACAACAAAATCAGCAGTAATTTTAAATTCCTAATAACATGATTTTTTGTATAGCAAAAAATAAAAAGATCTCTTTAACTTCATTATAAATAAAATTTGATTTTTATTGCTTGCAGGCTTTACAATTTGTTATTATTCTTTTCCCCTTTCTTGTTCGAAGAAGGAAATGGAATCAGCCGAGGTTTGCCGAAAGCTCTCGGCGAGTCAAAGTTTACGGAGATGACCGAGCGACAACCGTGGTAGGGATAATGCCAGTAAAAAGGTAATGTAGAAATACAAAATCAAGAAATTCAAAAGAATTCCAATAGAAATACAAAATTGCGCTTCCGGTGAAAACGTTCAACGTCGTATTTTTATATTAGGCATAATTGTTACGTCGATATTTATTTCCGGTTAACGGCAACGGCTAGATCACGATTTAGCGCGCATTGTTCTGACCAATTAAATGTAATCCACCTGGCTCTCCTGCCTTGGCAAGGATTGTTGCTATTCCCACAAGAAAAAAGTATTTCACTACTGGGGACTTTGGACGTGTGGCAACATTTTTAGCAAGAAGCTGAGTACATTCAGTCTACATTGTTTGCTTGCAAAAGGACTCAAACCAATACTAAGAAAAAACTTGGATATTATACTAGCATTTCATTTTCAATCCTCTTATTACTTAATGATAGTGTTTTCATGTACAGTATAGGATAAATTCACAATTGTTTACAATTTTAGTTTGTTTATTTTTTCCTCCTTTCTTCGTAGGTTTTGAACTTGAGATGTGATATTTTTAACACTCTTATATGCATACATGTGAAATTCTAATAATAAAAATAAACACGAAGAAAAGTTCATGAATCTCTTTACAATTTATATACCAAAGGACTATAAAAGTTTTACTTCTATCTATCTTTAAAATTTTTCATGATATAAACAATTTAGAAATCTATTCCCAATTCGTTGATATATAGGCTACTAAATTATGTAAAGATTGATCTAATCTGAGGAATGTTCCGATATTGTATAGATACACTAAATAGTACTTAATGTCACACACATTTATGTTTGGATGGATTTTTAATCATAAATTGGTAAATTATTTAAATATAAATAACCATGGCCATAACGCTAACCTGAGCCACCATCTTCCGAACTACTCTTTTATAATTATTTCGCATTTTATATCTATACAAAGAAAATTGACGACATCAGATCATGAAGAGATTTTGAGACAATCGAACCTATTCAACAGAACCGACTGATTTTTATGCATAATGAAACAAATGTTTTTTTTTTTATTTCTATATAAAAATCATTTTAAAACGGTATTTATGATTGCAGTTTAACGTCATTTTACAAGAATTTTACATATGAATTACAGGTACCATGATGTACCATTAAAGAGTTAACGGTTAAAACTATTCTTCTCAATGGAAGCAATTGATAAGTGAAAGTACTTTGTACTTGCGCTTTGCGCTTAACATTACAGTAGACCCTAGTTTAAGGTTCCACTCGAAAGATCCGTATTTTTTTTTAAGTTTCAGCTTTACTGATGGTACTTGAGAAGAAGATCACAAAGTTTTTAATACCCAAAAAATTGAATATCTCCCCTTAATAATAAATAACAATTTAAATTTTCAATGCTCTGTGCCAAGTTTGGTCTTCCTTCTTGAAAGAAATTTGAAAAGTTTTACTTACATATCGGACGGACGACAACAATAAAATCACTGAAAATACAAAATTCAAAAGAATTATACTTGATAGGTGTAGATCAGTTTACTGTTTAAGATTGTTGCTAAAGACGGTAAGCTTTTTAGAAAAGCTCTACTTGTTTTTAAAGTCATTAGTTCAAGATTTAGCGCTTTTGACACGCTTTACAATGTCGGACTCTGGAAGTACATGTATCTTGTCATTATACAGATAATAGAAAATCTTCTAGTAGCATCTACAGCACCGGATATTTCAGATACTTTATAGAAAAATGCCTTCCCCGCAGTCACGCATTTTAACGCATATACCATTTTTATTTCTAACGGAAAAACCCATTGAGAGTTTCACGCACTTTAAAAAGTTGTTTATTTTTTAATCAGTTGTTTCATTTTTTTACTTACTAAAATCTTTTGTAAAATTTTTTTGGTCATTAAATATTACGTCATAATATTTTTTAAGTAAAAAGGAAAAGAAACCTATTTAAAGAAAAAAAATTGCGCGTTCAACTGCTATCTGAAAATTTGGTTGCTATTGGAAAAAAACTTTGTAAGTATTGTTCTTCGCTGGATCAACAAAATGGTCTCTAATCCAATTTATTAAACTGTTGCTGCTAGATATATATTCACCTTTTCGGAACGTATCATACCTTTTAAACCTTATATGTATATTCAGATTTTTAG